GTGGGTGTCACTGCAGCCCCAGGGTTGGCACACTCTATGTGTGTCTGCCCACAATCCTTGCTTGTTCCTGAGGAGGCTACATTCCTTCCATTCTGCTAGCTAGGAGATAGCCTTTCCTTTCCCCTCCCCAAGTGATGCCCTTTACCCGTCAAGGCCAGGCTGGTGGGACCCCCGGCCTCCTAAGGCAGATGAAGATCAGCTGTATTGCTCTTCAAAACTTTCTCATTTGTGAGAGGCACCCAAATGACAGCAGCCTTTTCCCTGTCCTCGGTTCTGGGCAGCCTTCTGAACAGCCTTGCATCTGCCTGCCCATGCCTGGGCCCTCCATGGAGCTGCCTTCTTCCCCACTATGTCTGCCCCGCTGTCTCCCCAGCCTAATCTCGGGACCGAGATCCCCCTCCTTAACTCCTGCTTTCACAATGGGTTCATCCTGTCCCTCAGGCATCACGTGAGGCTGTGCAAACAGCAGGCACATCAGGCACCTCACTCCTACATCGCTAAACTGCCAACACCAGCTCCACCCCATAGCCTCTTCACTCATCCAGAGCCCTAGAGCTTCCTCCAGGACCTGTCTCATCCCAAGTTACACCACCCCAAAATAGGACCCTAAGGAGCCCATCTGCTCTTAGGTGTGAGGGCAGGGCACGTTTTAACAACAGAGGTCAGAGTTTGGTCAACAGGGAAGACTTGGGCTCTTTGCTGTCTGGTCTTGGTGTGTCTCCTGTGTGTGTAGCTCTGGTTGCAGGCAGCAAGTAGTTTTTTCTCCCCACAACCCCCTCAAACCCAGTGAGGGGCAGAAAGTAATTCCTGATGCCAGAGACTTCCCGCGACACCCTTGGGGAACCTCACCTTGGCACTCATTTCTACTGCAGCATTTGGTAATGAGAGGGCATGAGGGATCACCACATATGGGACTCTTGTGCAATTCAGGAAGAAACTAAACACAGATGTTTCAAACAGGGTAAATATGCCTAGCTCCCTCTCCTGCTGCTTTCCCTTCCACATCAGTCCAGGAGCAAGCATTGCCGCACAAATCAAGGCATACCTTCACTGCTCAGAAGCACATACCCCAGAGCATTTTTTCCCACTTCTCTTGTCTCACATCTGAGCCCAGGAACGCAGGGGGACGCCAGGCAAGGAGGGTTTGACAGGAGGAATTGGCTCCCTGGAAGCTGTGAACTGGCTGCTTGACAGTCCTCCCAGCCTCAGTTAGGAGTCACCACCCCAGGTGATACTGAACTCCAGCCTTCCATGCTCACAGAGGTCACTCTCAATGGATACAAAGAAGCTACACAGCAAGGAAGAGAGACCTAAACCATCCCTTGGCGAGCTTTCCCCCCCCCTCAAGCAATCTTTGTGTCTCTAAAGCCAGCTCTACTCTCGGTATCAAGCCATCAAGTCCCAGCTCTTTCTCCTCTACCCCGCCCCTGTACCCCGCCCCTCACCCGGCAGGCTGGTGTTCATACCCACAGCTGCTGAGCTTCCTTTCTCATCCTTCATCCTTTTAACTTCTTTGGTTGCAAATGTAAAGTAGTGCTCACAGGACATTGAGACACTGGTAAATGCCAGAGTCAGCAGGGTCAGTGATTAACATAGGAGCTGGAAAACACACAAAGAGACAGCCTGGGCAGTTCTGTTATGCAGATGACTGCACACACACGCTTCCAGCTTATAAACAAGTAGTTAACATTTTTCTGTTCCTTGAAGGAGTTAGGTGGGGGACCAGAATACTTCCTGCTTTGCTGCAGGATGCTTCAGCATGAAGGTAGGTCATGGAGACTGGCTGCCAGCAGCTTTTCTACCTGTTGTGCTTTAATCTGCCTGCTGCAGCCCAGTTTCTCTCAGACAAGACACACAGAAAAGGTGCAGAGATGTTCAGCTGCAGGGGGTCTCAGGCCACCATGTTTCTAGCCTTGCTGGAAGGCAGGTTTTACTGCTCCAAGTTTGGGCCTGGAGTCTTCTTCCAGGTCAAGAGCAACCTCTGTGTTCAGCAGATAAACTTCTTGTTGACTTGAACCTTATGAGGAAGGGTGTCTCAAGGACTTGGTGCTATGTTCTTGTATAATAAGGTAGGGCTTCCTCTGGTTCTGTCACTGAATGTGACAATCTTGACAGTACCACACATGGGGACAAAATTTAAACACTCAGTTATGCACCCCATCAGGAAGGTTCCCCAGTTCTGCCTCCAGTGCCACCTAGGGGACCTCCAGGAGTGGAGGGAGTCAGAGCACCCTACCCACTGCAGGGCTGTCCATGGCTGGACCAGAGGAGACTATTCAGATAGGATGGGATATGACTGAAACACCTGGGGCAGCTGAATGCCATTTGGGGCAGGTCAGACTGTGAGCCAGTTGCCAAAACCACCTCTGGAATTGGAATAGGTTGACTCAAACTAATCTATGACCCACTTATGATCTATACATGGGCTAAACTGACATGTCCATCCTCTTAAAGCCCTTGCTGGTGACTTTGCTTCTGTTTTCCCCATCTTTCTCCCTCCAGAGCACTGCAGAATCTGAATCTGAGTGCTGTCATCCTTCTGAGAAGTCAGGGGAGCTGGGACTGCTGAGGGGCTGACAGAAATGAGAGCATGAGGGTCCTAAGTGTGCTGTCTTGGCTGGGTTTCTCTCCTGTGCCTGGCATTGCTCTACAAGGAAAGCAATGAGCAGAGCTTGCAGTCTGAATTGGAAACAGAAATAGGGTTGCTACAGCTGCAATATACCTACCAGTCTTAGGGGAAAGGAATGTCAAGTGGTTCTGGTGTGATTGTACCCAACAGGGAACTGGAAAACATGGAGTGTGCACCAATTTTTGTAGTAACTTGTTCAAGGTGAATGACAGAAGTCCTGTTTTGGAGTTCATATCATCTGGTACTTCTCATTCCCAGACCTGAAACCACCTCTGAACCCACTACCTCATGCCTGTGCTGGAGCCCTTAAAGTGATGATCAGAGAGACTGACTGTTGGGCTCTGTGTAGAGGTCCTGTTAGGCATCCTTCTGTCTGTGCATGCCCTGGGCAGTGCTGGACACCAGCAGACAGTGGATTTTATTCAGTTCTGCTCACATCACACTGAGAGGGAAGGTGACAAACTGCAAGGAGTTTTCAGCCAAAAGCAATATTGCTGGAGCGATTGAATTATAATAGGAGACGGTGAGGAGAAATTCTATTTGGTGATGCTGAAGTAAGAACTGGCAGGCAGTGACATGGAGTGCGTCAACCTCAGTGAGCGAGAGCAGTTTACAGGAGTGACTTCAGCCACGTGACTGAGGACAGAGGGGTGGCACACTGGGCAGAAGTATGTGGCCTGAACTTTAGGACAGTTTGGTGGCAAGGCCCAGCCAGGAGTTTCATCTCCCAAGGGAAGTGGAGAACTGACCTACGCATTAGATCCCACCTTGGACAAGAGACTGAGGCCCCTAAGTCTCTCCCATACCCTGTTGCCCTCCTCCTTTGAAGTGACTAAGAGCTCAGGGTCATTCCCCTTCCTCCAGCACCCCTCAGTGCTGCCTCCTTCCCATCCTTTAAAGAACACCCAGAGCCCTCAATGCTGTTCTCTCTGACCTAAGATCCCTTCTTGTGGGACCAGGGAACCTAAGTGCTGTCTCCTGAGAGTCACCCAGAGTGCCGTGTCCCTCTCCTAATGGTGACTGCCTCCCAGTTCATCTTCTGGGTGCTGTTCAGCACTGACCAGTCTAATGCATCATGAGTGCACAGGAGAGCTAGGTCTGCCTGTTCCTTGCCCTGGGATACCAGAACCCTGACAGTAGGTCCCATCTCTAATTCACCTCTGCTCAGCTCGGGACTGTTTTGCCTTCTGGCTTCTGTCCAGCTGGCCTCCCTCTTCCTTCTCACTCTGTGAGATTGGAGGGAAAGTTTAAAATTGGTCTTGGCACTGTGCACTTGTTTCCCGATGCCCCATGAGGCTCCCTGGCACACAGGAGGAAATTAAACATGAAGCACTAAGTGCGGTACCAAAGCACCAAGCAAGGACCAGGAGTCTTGGCCATATCCTGGGGTCCTGGCCATGGGTGGCAGGGATGGGGGAGAGCTGGGAACTGCAGGAGATTCAAAGTCAAGATCAAAGCATTTCCCTCTGAAGCCCTAACACTCTCCTTCCCTCCCACTTGCACATAAAAGCACTCTGCCCTCAGCGGGCTCTCCACTGGGGAGGGTGGGTGGAGGAGGGGTCTGCTTTCCCCCTCGTTTTTCCTGTGTTGCTAATAATTCTTCTCGTAGGTGAAATGATGAAAATCCTTCACCTCTCATCCCCCATGCCTTCTTCTTACCCAGATCCAAAGGGCCTCAAGCTGTTTCAATGGCTATGAGTTCATGGCAGACCTAGCCTGCTTTGGGGTGTTACCAGCCAATGCCAGCATGGGGGAGATGCAACAAGAAAAGCCTTTGAAGTGTACAGTAGAAAGACACTGTTAGAGGCAAAGCACAAGGAAGGAGGATTGAAAAGAAAGCAGAGCAGTTTGGCCCACAGGAGGGGGAAAGGCTAATTAAGGCACAGAGTGTGGAGAAGGAAAAGGCAGAATCATTAAGATATCCCAGCAGGAGCCCACGGTGTGGCTCCATGGAGGTTTAAGCCATGCTGAGCCTGGCCTCTGCTAGTTGCCTCCCTCCGTTCCCCATTCCCACCCTTCTCTTTGGGGTGACACAGGAGTGTGAGGGACTCTCTCAACTAATTCAGGTTGCTGGTCCAGCTGAAAATTAATTGGTTTATTTCATACCATAATGCAGACAGAGCTGAAACTGAGGGTGGCAGCCTTCATTACCTCTCCCTTACTAATGATCTGACAGAGGGCTAAAGCTTGGAGGTGATCCCAAACTGAAGAAGCTGCAAACTCCAGTGAGGATGGGCACATATGAAGAGACTAGAAACTGGAAACATGGGCAGGAAATGGTGGATTCGGTTTTGGAAAGCCCAGGAAGGGGATAATCTTCTGGCAGTGCTTCATTATGCAACATCACACAAAGCCAGCAGCATTAAGAAAGACCTGTGAAAGAGGGAAAGCAAGCTGCAGAGTCAAGGGTGCAGTTTTGTGTTTCTGTGATCAGACAGCTGCTGCTTCCTTCAGAGAACACCCAGAGCCACTTGCCCCTCAAAGACAGTGAAAAATGGCTTTGTCAGGCTTCTCCCTACATCCCAGCTACAGGCCAACAGGCAGAGAGGGACCACAGGGAAATGGGAACACAGAGGGTACCGCTGTGAGTCTGGGGGTGCAGGAGGATCTGGCTTTTCTCACTGGTCCAGGACAGGGCAAAAATGCATCTAACAGCAGGCAGGGGAGGATGGGGGATGGGATGTTTCACACCTAGCAAGCAGGAGCAGATGGGGCTGGATTTAAACACCACAAGGAATTCACTCACACTGCCTCAAGGAGTCCAGGACCTAGCAAGCCATGCCCAGCCCTCTCTTCCCTGGATTCATGGCACTTTAGTGACAGGTTAGCAATGCAGAGGGGTTTCTCTAGGGTCTGTAGCTAGTCAGGGAGCTGAGATATGGCCCTTCAGTGCAAACATAAACCCCTGCTCAAGTTGTGATTCCCCAGTCCTTTCCCAAGCCCTGCCCCCAGGCACACACACTGGAATGACCATGGTGTTTGCTGGGGGAGAAACGTGAGAAGTAGAGCTGGAGTGCTGTAAAAGATGTAAATGTTTCTGTGCTGAGAGCACAGAGTGTCTAGGGCATAGCCTCCAAGGGGGGATGGAGAGTCACCGAGAAGGCACTTCTCTTTTGTTCTTGATCTTGGCTGACTTAGGAGGGTTCCCAGGAAAAATCCTGAAGCTGATACACTAAAGAGAGCTCACTTGTGCTTTATCAGGTGGTGGTCATGGGGTGACAGGGACAGAACAAAGGGTAGGGAGGAGGAACAGGTAGGAGGAAGGGCTTGGGATAGGCAGTTCTGGCCATCTCAGATCCTCTGGCTCCCTTGGTGCTGAGAAGTCATTTCATCAGTTGGGAAGGGAAGGGGAGGAATATCCCCTTGTCATAAAGTGGACAAGAGAGCAAAGGAGTCAGTTCAGTCCCGGTAAGTACTGAAAAGATGACACACACAATTGCCACAGCTGCAGTACTGCACCGTGAGAGGATGTGACTGCCTGGGAGCAACAGTTGCCCAGGTCTGATGCAACAGCTGAGAAAAAAAACCCAATTCTTTTAACATAAAAATTAGTCATCGCTGAGGTCAGGTTTTCAGAGGGCTGATCTCTGCCCTCTGAAGCTTAAGCTTTAGGTATGACTGATAGCATTGTGAATGCAGTAAAAGAGCTGAGAGGAGATGAGGACAAGGAGAAAGGGACACTGCTTAGGGACAGGGCCATTTACTGAGGAAACAGATTGATGTGTCTTCTTGCATCCCTGAGTACATATGCTCTGATTTTGTGTATTGAAGTATTTGGACCACTGAGCAGGTAGAAGCAGAGCAAAGATGAAGGAGGATGAGGGAAGAGAAAGAGGGCTGGGAGGCAGGGAACTGGGAGAAGAACAAAGCTACTTGGTGTACAGGAAGGGGTGTGTGCAGAATCCCAAAAGCTCTGCAGAAGAAATGGCATCAACAGGATGGTAGGTGTGAGACACACGAGGAAGGGATGCAAACTCATAGGATCCCTCATCCCTTATCATCAGACTTGTCCAGAAACTTACTTGCTTTGAAACATTTCACAACCCAGAATTCCAGGTTATGAAACCAGAAGTCAGCCCAAATCCGGAAAAAATAACTGTTGGTTTCTGTATGAAACTTGGGATCACTGAGAAGCCAGAGAGAGTCCATTCACTGGCACAGCCCATTGCTGCTTTCTTGAAGTCCCTCCCTACCCTCTGCCTGGGTTTTCGTGCTGCCCCACTCCAGTTCATGCAGGAGAGTGGGGAGCACACACCTCCATTCACCATCACGGTGGGAATCGCTGCCTTATCCCAAGGTCTCCACTTGAGAAACCCCCTGCAGTGGCCACCACAAGTTGTGTGTCCTTTCGAAGCAACCTGAAACTTCACTGCTGACCCTAAAATAAGCCAAACATGCAGAACCAGTCCTCCTTTCTTGTGTCCCCTGTGACAGGTGGACAGTACCCGCTGCCCAGGGGAACCGTCCCTCAGCCTCTGGGATCCCCAGAGGGAGCAGGTTGCTCCCGCCCAGCTCCTTCCTCAGGGGAAGAGGGGTTAGTGCCTGGTTTCTGCAGCCCTGCTGCCTGTGGCTCGGCCCTGGAGCGTGCCCGGCAGCCACGGGCCGGCTGTGTGAGGGGGCGGGTGGGATGGAGGTGCGGGACGGGAGCGCACCCACGGCCCCGGGATCCCCCGCCAGGTC